TATATATATATATATTATGTTCATTTTCATAAAAAAAAGAAGTGAGCTTGACTCAATCGAGTTACTCGAACTCGGCCCAATGAATTACCTACGCCAGGGTCCAAGGACCTTGATCGAGTCGATTTTTTTTAACATTGGTACCAACCATATAGATGGATTGATAGCTTGTGTAGCTTGGTTATTTGCCATTGTAGCGATGACCTATGTGACATGTTATGTGAGTGCCATGCCCCCTTGAGAGGATCTTATTGATCCAGTGGCATCTTAGTGAGCATGTAGCATTGAGTGGCATGAACATCTTTTGTAATGCAATGATATTTTTGTGATAGTGTTTTCTTCTTGATGCACTATTTGTTTTGCTAATGAATGAGACTTTGAGTTAAATTTTTTGATTTTTTTGGGTGATTCGGTGGGGAAGACAAACCCCTACCTATTTTTTCATATAGATTAGGGAGTTAAAACTTTTTTGAAGGTGTCAACAAGATTGGAAACAACAGTGTCGTAACTAGGTATGGGGTTGTTACCACCATGACCCAACCCCCTTCTTATGAAATTAGGGAGTTAGCTTTTTTTAAGGTGTTAGTAGGTGGTGTCACTAGGATTGAAAACCACAGCGTGGTAACTAAGTATGGGGTGCTACTACCATGACCCAACCCCTACCACAATGACCCAATCCCTTTTTTATGAGGGGTTTTTTTTTTTTGAGAGAAAAATGTAAATAAAAAATGAGTTGTGGTATGATCTTATATGCGCTATTAGTAGCATTTTCTGCATTAGTGGGGCTTCCAAAGCCATGACAAATGAGATGTGGTAATACTCCCACAAAATTGGAAGAAATTTGTGCACATCCTATTTTAGTAGTCCTTCCAATATGGGCCTAAAGTCATTTAGGGCACTTCTCAGCTTAACCTAATGCGATTTCCACAATAAATGAGACATCAACCATACCTCATTTAAAAGTCCTCTAATCGGGTAGACACATCTGGCGTTTCCAGTACTTTGGACACCTTTAGGCCCTCTAGAGGCTATATTCGAGTCTTCTCAAGGAAAGGTATACAAAGAGATCCTTTAACTTTTAATATAAGGAGTTACAATTCTTGTCAGTCATATTTCAAATTGGGTGGGTATGAGTGTATGTTTGATTAGATTTAAAATTCAAAAAAAAAAAAAAATTTCAAATTTCGTGACATACCCAAAACCATCCAATTTGAATTTTAATAGCTACACGTAATTATAACTTCCTTATAACAAAGATAGATGATCTCGTAATATACAATCCCTCTCTTTAATTGCCTTCACGAGCAATTGTGAAAATAGGCATCCTTCAAAGGGTCCTACTCAAGTGAAATTTCCACATTTTTGGTGATTGTGGTAAAATGAATTTTCCCATTCCTTGCACATTAATGGCCGGCCACCCATTCAGGGTTAACATAAAGGCAAATTTATTCATGCAGCTAAAAAAGGGATGTCCAAACAAGGCCTTACTCTTAAATCAAGTTTAAGATATTAGCAAAACATACTCGCGTGGTATCTATGTATCTCTCTCTGAGAGAGAGAGAGAGAGAGTAAACTCCCCACAATTTATTTATCATGATAAACTTTAGAATGTGACTGCGTAATAATGTGAAAGTAAAAGGTAATAAACTTTGGACGGTGATTTCATAATAATGTGAAAGTAAAGGGTTATTCAAGATCCTATTCCCCATTCTGAAAAGCCGAAACAGGAAATGACCTCCCCATCCCGAACGAACTCTTGAAGTGTATCTTGCTGCTTTCAGGCTCATCCATGCTCATCTCAGTGATAGGAACCCAAACCATGAGCTGCTTGCTCTTCACCCCTGTCATCTTCTTCATCTTCAATCTCTCCACATAGGCTGTAAACTCAGTCCCATAGCTCACCCTGCTCCCTATCTCCTTGAACAAGTGCTCATAAGGCACCTTTAGCTTCATCCATATGAACCCGGTTTCTCGAACTCGGCCGCACTCCTCTAGATCCTTCAACGGCAACACGCCTTTTGGAAACCCTAGCTCTTGAAGCAAGTCTACAGAGTGCTGATAACAAGCTTCGGCCCCGTAGACCACCTCGGCTCCGGCTCTTTCGTTTCTCACAATTTCCATGGCCATGGTGCTGTGACAGTTAATTTTAAAGGGAGATTAGGTGCTTGATGCCTTTGGTTGATTGGGAATTGTGGGGTGAGGGAGAAGTTGGTTTTTTAAATGCCAGGAGAAGTTCGTTTTAGGGTTGGTGGGTTGTGGGAAGTTGAACTACCATGGTGTTTGGTCACCCAACGGCTAGATTGCTCAGGACTTGAATGTGTTTATATATTTTATTGCTTCAATCTGCAATGACTAGTCAACGAGTAATATCTGTACAAGCATTTGGCCAACAAACCCTTATGATTATGTTGCTAATTTTGATTATGTTACTAAATCCCCAAATTTAAACGGATCATTCGCATAATTTGGGTCCGGGTCACTCAGACTGGGCCTGACGACCCAGGCCCAGCTGAATAACTCGGCTCAGTTTGAGTGGATTGAGCAAGTTTTGTACACACCAAAAAAATCTACAAAATCAAACATAAATATAAAAAATTTGTTAAAAATAATTAAAATAAGTAAAAAGTAAAATAAGTAATATGAATCAGTAAAAGTCCATACAAAAGGTGGATTTTACTGAAAAAATTGACTAAAAATAAAAAATTAGAGTGCATAATAAAAAAAGTTCCTAAATCATTATAAAAAACATATAAATTATATAAAAATATACATAAATTATAAGTTCAAGATAGTTTATCTAAATTTTTTAGTTTCAAATGATTTTTTAACAAGGAGAGTTAGCCCTGGAACTTGCCTTGGCAATTAGTTTGAGTTGAGTTACTCGGCCGGATCCTTGAACATTGCTTTTAAGTTTCAAAGGATTTGTAGAATTACGGTATTTTGAGAATTTACATAAACTAGTCCACTTACACACATAGGGAAAGTGATTTCATGTCATCATTACATAATAATACAATGAAATTTCCCATTCAGAAAGTCATGTTAGTGGCATTTGTACGATCTTAAATTTTGCAATTGCACTATCTTTATCCCAACAATTAACACCAAAAAAAAGAAAAAGAAAAAAATGAATTTCAATACTAGAAAAAGGTCAAAATGAGTTATTCCAACATTGAATACATACCATCTATTTAATGGACAGTCTGCATAAGAACAATCCCTTTGAGGTCTAAATCTAATCATGTTATAAAAAAGGACTGCCTATGCTCATTGGGTTAAAGAAAGCAACTTTTATTGTACATTTTCAAAATTTTATTTATATCGTTTATCAGAGTGGATTGTGTGCATGTTCAAAAATTAAGGTCCAATGCGTAGTCCTACTGTGGTTTTTAAAGGCATATAAGATAGTCTCTTCCTTCACACGCATGTGCACACATACATACACATGCATCGATGATGAGGTTTATATAAGACACCAACTTTAAATAATAAAGGTGAGGTGTACCTTTAAACAGTACCGAAAGACAGTTCCGGTACTAGAAGTCCTTGGTATGAAAATCCATTTTCATTTTTAATTATAAAATTTAAAGTTTTGAGATACATATCCACGGACTACTCCCTATTTAACTCCAAAAAATTTGTGCTCCCATAGGAAAAAAATCTATATCGGCTTCCTTAGGTAAAAACACTAGGTAAGGGTATTTCTACGACGCCAAATTTGGGAATTTGATCTACTCAACGTTGCGACCAACCTAACAAAATGAATTACATAGGACCATAGAAGTGCCTATAAAAATCACATTTTGGGAATGAACACAACCATTCAATTCTTACCGTGTATAAGAACTAAATTCATATTTTTCTTTAAGTTGTTTATTCAACTCTGAAAAGGAACCTGTAGAATTTGCAATAAGAGAAATATGACAAGAGAAGAAGAGAAAGATCAACAAGGTATATACATGGTTCGACAATGATGCTTACGTCTACAGAGGGTAAACCGGTTTCTCATTCGTAAGGGATTACTTTGGTCTACCACAGATTTATAGAGTTACAATTATTGTTTTTTAAGAAATAAATCTCACTACAATAGTAATCCCACAAAATAGGAAACTTAATATCGGAAACTTAATATCTTGTAATATACAAGACATGAAACCCACTATTTGGTTTGTATAATTGTCAACACTTCCCTCTCAAGTTGGTGTGTAGATATCAATGGAGCCCAACTTAGATATTATCTGATGCAACTTTGTCTTTGCAATAGATTTGGTAAACATATTTGCAAGTTGGTCTTCACTTCGAGCATAAGGAGTACTAATAATTTTTACTTGAACATTTTCTCTCACAAAGTGACAATCAACTTCTATGTGCTTGGTTCTTTCATGAAAAACTGAACTAGAGGCTATATGCATAGCTACTTGATTATCATAGAACATCTTTATTGGATTGACCTTTGAGAATCTCAGTATTAAAGTAGGTATTTTAGCCACATCAATTCACTTGTAGCTGAAGCCATAGCTCTATATTTAGCCTCTGCTCTAGATCGAACAAACACATTTTGTTTTTTGTTTTTCCAATTAACCAAGTTTCCTTCGACCAATCTACAATAACCGGTAGTGGACCTCATCAATTAGACTACTTGCCCAGTCAGCATCAGAATAACTAATAATATAAATATGACCAATTGATTTCAACCAAATACCTCTACCGGGTGACGACTTGAGATATCTAATAATCCTATTGACAACCTCTATATGACATGACCTAGGAGCATGTATAAATTGGGTCACAAGACTGATCACATACATTATATTAGGTCGTGTCACTGTCAAATATATCAATCTACCTACAAGTCTCTGCAAGCGGTCCATATCTTCAAAAAGTTTTTCATTTGTTGAGTTAAGCTTGAAGTGTCTATGGGTTTGACTCCCAGTTTCTTTCAACATATATAATACATATTTTTTTTGAAAAATGAAGAGTCCATTTTTTGAATGTGTTACTTCAATGCCAAGAAAATACTTTAGTCGACCAAGATCTTTGATGTTAAATTTCTTATGAAGATAATTTTTAAGCTTCATGATGTTTTCTTTATCATTACTTGTAATGATAATATCGTCAACATAAATCCCTTTTAGTGAACATCGAAGAATCAATGAAACTTCTAAGAAACCTGACACTAATCAAAGATGAATTGAGTTTAGCATACCATGCACGAGGTGATTGTTTAAGTCCATACAATACCTTCTTTAATTGGCATACATGAGCTTTTTAATTTTCTTTAGAATGGCCTGAAAGAAGACTCATAAAGGCTTCTTTATTAAGATCCCCATGTAAGAAGGTATTTTTAACATCTAGCTGCTGCAAAGACCACCTAAAATAACTGTGATAGACAAAATAATATGGAAAATATTCATATTGGCAACTGGTGCAAAAGTCTCTTTATAGTAGGCTGCATAAGTTTGGGTAAATCCTTTGGGACAATGTCCTAAGTATGGTTCTTGTCAAGTGCTTGAAGTTCCTCTTTCATGGCCTTCCTCCACACAGGTTGAGAAAGATTATTTTGGAAATTGGTTAGCTAAGAATTATTAGAAATAGAACTAAAAAAAACAAAATAGTCAAGAGTGATATTTTCATAGGAAATATGATTTTGAACATGATAAGAAATTGCATGTTAAGTATAAAAATCTTGAAGTTTAAAAGAAGGTTGAGAGATACGAGAAGACCTACGCAAGGGGTGATCAGGTGGGGCCACAGCCATGTCAGAGTCTTATTCTTCTAAATCAGTTTGATGAGTTTCAAAGGTATCTTAAGCTTGGGCTTGATCATCATGACTTGTTCCAGGTGTGTCGAACATATCACTTGTATTAATATTAGGCATGGGCAAACGACTATTTGAACACTCTCCTTGAGTCCTATTTTTCAAACCACTATCTAATATATTATGGAAATAGGGCTCTGTTTTAACAAATTGAACATCTCTAAACATATGCATTTTCTAGTTGTGGAATTATAACATTTGTATCCCTTTTGAGTAGAGGAGTATCCAAAAAAGATACATCTACTGGAACGTTTATCAAGTTTATCCTGGTTGTGCCCAACCATATGAACATAAGACACACATCCAAATACTCGTAAATGTGACAAATCAATATTTATATTTTTCAAAATTTCAAGGGGAGATTTATCCTTAAAAATTTTACTTGGAAGTTTGTTAATCAAATAGTAAGCAAGTAAAATAGATTCAGGCCAATAAATTTTTGGAACATAAATTTGAAATATCAAAGGTCTTGTAGCTTTCAAAAATGTGTTTATTTTTCCTTTAAGCAACTCCATTCTACTGAGGTGTTCCAACACACGATGTTTGATGTATAATACCAAGATTCAATAAATGCTTCGAAAAATCTTTGGTAACATATTCTGTGCCATTATCTGTTTGTAGAATTCTAATATTGCTATTGTATTGAATGAAAATCAGTTTAAAAAATTCTTTGAACACAGAGAGAATTTCTGTTTTTTAATATACCCAAGTAGCACGAGACCAATCATCAATAAAAGTAACAAAATATTTCAAGCCGACATAAGAGGGGTTGGTCCCAATACGTAAGAATGTATCAAATAAAAGGATTCATTTGAAACATGCATTGAAAAGGAAGTCTAGTCTGTTTTGAGAATTTACAGATTTCACAAGAATGAGAGTTTAAATATAGAGAGAGCATTAATTTTTTTAGACCTTTATCTGAGGGATATCCAAATCTCTAATGCCACAATTTATTGATATCAAAATTATATTGACTCGTAATCAAAGCCATAATTGCCTGATTAAATATGTATAGCCCATGAGACAACGTTCCTTTACGCATCTTCCTCCCAGTGGCCTGGCCTTGAGAAGTCACAGAGTTAAGAAAGAAAATAATATTGCAATTCATACTCTTAAGTAATTTTACTAATATACATCAAGATGGAGGGAAAAAATGGCATAAAAAGAACTTCAACGTTTTGGGATTTAGAAAAAACAAGTCTTACCAACACCATGAACTGGGATTAAGGAACCATTGGCAATGTACACATGATTTATATTTATATTGTTTTTAAAGTTACATAGGCATTGTAAGTTACCAATTATATGATATGGTCCCTGAGTCTATTATCCAAAAAAAATGTCACAAGAAGACATGAAAGCATTAGGATTACTTGTGTCCTGAGAGGAAGACGGCGGATCTTGCGTAGA